ATGTCCCGTACAAAATGAGCTGCACCAGTTCACATTTTAATTACTGGCCCAAAGAATCAGCATTCAGAATGTTACAAGCTGAAGTATAAAATAAGAAGGTGAAGGAAACGTCAAAATGCAAGGACAGTGGAATATGAATTGCTTGATTTATTTTTTTACAACCATTATTATATTTTTAGCTTAAAGCCCTAAAGGGTCCAAGTAGTTTTGCTAAATAAATAAATAAATAAATGAAGAAGAAATTGTTCAAATTATTACCCCAAACCTAGCAATTGTGGGAACTACTCTCGGGTGTGGTTCAGGTATTTTTTGAACTAATTCAGCAAACATCATTAAATTGACCAAGTTCGTTCCAAGCACTGGGCTAGGTATGTAGCATATATGCACATATGGCGAGGCAGTAATATTCAGACAGAGCCCTCTCCCCTAGTAATCATGCATATAACTTTTGTAAACCAAGGCTTGCCTGAGTTGATCTTGCTCACACCACACAAGCCATCCACTATGGAAGAAGGGTGAAGCAGTGGTGTAGCATGGGATGCCGGCTTCCAGGACAGGACAAGTGTTTTGCTTCTCCCCCCCCCCCATGGACTGGGCATCTGGGGGGATGTGCACTGGGGGGCCCTTTCCCCCTCAGGCCCTTTCCTGCCTCCGTCCCTCCTCAGTGGGCAGCACTGGTGCTAGCACCTTCCCCCTCCCACTCGGCCAGGTCAGGGGCAAGTTTGTGGACACCCACACTGGGAAAGCTTGGGGCTGCCCTTGTGTGCCCCGCCATTGCCCACCAGCCATGGCCCCATGCCACTGGTGAGGCCAGCACCAGAAGTGCCAGGGGGTAGCCACACCACTCCTTCTGCAGTGACCGCGATGTCCTCAGCTTGGCCTCCAATACAGCCGCCTACCCACCCCCCTTCTCAGGAACAGACTCCTACTCCCTGGGCTGGGCCACCACTTCTATCGGTACCCAGTGCTCCCATGGCCCTACCACCTCCATCCTCTAAACCTTGTGGGCTGGGAGAGCCCTCACCTCTTGGCCAGCCAAGGGGCAGGGCATGTTGGGGCATCTGAGGAGAAGGAGGCACCACCACAGCCCTGAAGGTTGAAGGGCCAGACTAGAGAGCCAGTGTGGGGTAGTGGTTAAGAGCGGTAGTCTCGTAATCTGGGGAACCGGGTTCGCGTCTCCGCTCCTCCACATGCAGCTGCTGGGTGACCTTGGGCTAGTCACACTTCTTTGAAGTCTCTCAGCCCCACTCACCTCACAGTTTGTTGTGGGGGAGGAAGGGAAAGGAGAATATTAGCCGCTTTGAGACTCCTTAAAGGGAGTGAAAGGCGGGATATCAAATCCAAACTCTTCTTCTTCTAGGCACAGCTTGCCTTCCTGCGGCTCTGGAAGGTGGCAGGAGTTCAGAAGAGAGCCTGTTGTGGGGGCTCCTGGTTGTCCCCTCTCACGAATTTGGCACCCACGGTCACAGCCCACCTAGGCCCCCCATGCTACACCACAAGTCCTTCTTGTTCGCATGAAGTGAGCCTAAATCTATTTGAAGGCATATCATTTAGAAACTTTACCTGTTAACTGAGCAACACTTGGATTGATTACAAATAACAGTGTGTGTTTAATACAGTCATTTAAACACATTGCTGTTTGACTATATTGCAAGTTTGGACAACACAGCAAATGTCAAAATGCCTTTGCTTGCTCCTAATTTTTTAAGCATAGTTTATAACAGCAGGTGAACCTTGTAATTAAGCTACAATTATTCAGTGCAACAGAAACACAGCGTAAATGAGCGCAATAATGACTCCTAATTATAAATGGCTTTTAGTGCTGTCAATAAAAAGGGAAGGGTGTTGTGTAATCACTGAGCTTCAACTTTCCAAATGTATATGCACAATTTGATGTGCTCCGCTTTTAAAACGTTCATCTCATGGGGCTTTACACATCTCTCACAGCCATCAAAATAACCACTCTAGTTACAGAGCAGACAACTTTGAAAAGGTCATTGATGTACATCCTCTCATAATGATACACATACCTTCAAGGAGTCAGTTTTTATAAGGCTTTTGAACAATTTGCAAAAGGGCTTCACTTATCCTAGCTGGTCCAGGGCCCTAAGGTCTTTTATCAGTTTCATGCTGTTTGGCTGTAGTCCTATACCCACTTCCCAGGATAAAGACTGTCGGCATTTGCCACCATTCTACTCATTGACGGTCTGCCAAACCGAGGGTAATCTTCAATGGTTTGCTGCCCTTCACAGGAAACGTTTAAACCACTCATACACTGTCTTTCAAGTTACAGCTTCATCTCTGTACACAATTGTGAGCATTTCGTGGGTTTCCGATGCCGATTTACCCAATTTGAAACAGAATTTCATATTGACTTTCTGCTCCATTTTCAGTCGCAACGCAGTGCACTATTCACAGCTACTAAACGCTACCGCATGGACATAGGCCTGTCAACAAATGCTGAGAGTTGCGTACATATGTTAGCTGAGATACGGGCGAACTCCTTCCATGTGTCTCCAGCAGTTCCCATAATCGCATACAGGGGTGATTCACCCTACTTTCTGGTCACACGCAGGAGCGTACGAAATGGGGGGGAGGGGGCGGGCAACCCGGGTGCCACTCTGGGGTGTGTGTGACAAGATGGCCCCTGCCTCCCCCCAGCTGCAGAGCGGCCAAAGGCGCGAGCAGTCAGTATGGGCACCGGCTGCCACTCTCACACACCGTCCATACAGGCGTCTGTACGGGCTGCCGTGAGTGCACACTCTGTACGGGGTGCCGCACATGCGCACTCCATATGGGATGCCGCACATGCGCAGTCTGTACAGACATCACACGTGCGCCACCGGGCGGTTTGCCCCGCCCCTCAGCGTCCCACCCCTGGTGCCGGAGAGGGTTCCTCCACCACTGGTCACACCTTGTAGATCTTGTTCTAATTGCCCCCGCTAAAAACCTTGCAGTTTTTGCTGTCACCTGATCACCTTGATCTTCTAGAAGAAAGGACACAGTAGCAATGGTTGAGTGACCTGGCATGGATGACAGTAGAGGGTTACACTCCTCAAATCTTTATAAAGAGTGCGAACCAGAAGCATATGAGCCACTGGCTTTACTACGTCAGAGATTTCCCTAATGATGATGTAATGCAAATGGAATGGGATAGCAATTGGATGTGTGAGAATGGATGGACCACAGTGGACCATTGAGAGCTGTCTGGCTCTCAATCCAGTTCTAGGGTATATTCCAACCACAAAGGAGGATTTCAGCCCCATTCCAGACAGCATGTGATCTGCAACAGCATGTAAGTACAATTAAAGCCATATGAAAACAACCAGGAATGGATGCATTGATACCCGACCTTATGTAAGTAGACTGCACAAGATGAGAGCATTCCAAACACAACACACATTTCCAGAGTTAAAGCAAAAATAAGCAGATTTCTTTTTGTCAGGGGAGGAGGGAATCTATATATTCACAGTGGTTGCTTTCTCTTGACGTAGAAGCGATCAATAGAGTAAATTAACAGAGACCTGGCTTTATTATTATTTTCCGAGTTAAGGGAATTTTTCATCCCCAGTTCCATTCTGGAAAATGAAAGATAGTTGGATAGTTGGTTGATAGTTTATTGCAAGAGGGTATGTGATTGCTGCTAAAGCTAGAGACCTGTCCATTATTTACAGTGCTTTTCTCCTATATTTCTAAGGTGTTTACAACTTGTCTGTTTCAAATCATAGCAGGTTGTCAAAGCTGAAGCTTTATGTTTCCTACATATGAAGAACCTGTTTACTTTCTTTCCTTTTTTTTAAATCCTGTTTTCCAATAAAAGAGCTGTAGCTTTGTGTTGTTGTTTTTTGAAGTTTATAACAAATAAACTAGGAAATTAAAAAGGATGATGGCTACCAGTAAAGCATAATTAATACTTTAATAATTAAGGTTTTCAGTCTGAGCCAAACTAGATGAAGTCCTGGGAGATCTGTGATTTTTAAAAGTTTGGCAACTACAGGAGTTGGGTGTGGGTGGTAAAATCAAATCAGGACACTGGCACTAGTAGGGTGGGAATTTCATGCTTTCCCCCTCCATTTTCCTGATGGACACCTACCTGCATGCATGAACATGCATACCAATGTTCCAAAGGGCAAAACCTACAGGTAGCATGTCTGATTCAATACCACCACCATCCCCACTGGCTGGTTTTACCTTTTTTGGAGGGGAGTGGGAGGAGATCCACTCATGGGAGTCCCACAATATCACATCTAGTTGTGCCCTTAGCCACAGGGATATGTGATACAAATTCCAATTTTATGACCAAACTAGATATTGAGAGTGGCACAAAACATTGTGTTACGGTCCAGGTTGTTTTGAATGGGGAGGTTTCAGAATTCAGCATGGATGGAATGGAAAAGAGCTGCTAAACTCTTCCCCTATAGTCCCATGCTCGCACCATCAAATTCATTGGGATTTATTCCCAGGTAAAGCATGTCTAAGACAGTGGGAAATGTCTTGGCTTCAGTATCAGACATATCAATGGATCATAAACAGAAAATACTAATTAGAATCTATTTGACTCCCTTACATTTGTATAAGTAAGGACTATTGAATGTAGCTCTTTGTTTGAGATGTAATACAGACAATGTTTCCTTGAAACATGCTTTTACTGTGTGCCACATTTACTACGTTTTGGGAGAAAGTGCTGGAGAAGACACTACGGAAAAAAATAAGATTTTCAGAGGGGAACATGCTCTTGAACTGTATACCCATTGTATGGAAATTGACAACAGAACAGCAAAAATGGATTCTGTGCACTCTAATGGTGGCCAAGAGACTGAGGACTCAGTCAGCTATGTTGTTGTAACTCCATTGTAAAGATGCGGCACCAGATGTTGCTATAGGGCAAAAAACTGTCCATGAGATTTTACATAGGGATTTTTTCTTTAGTTATAACAGTCTAATTTATGACTTATTTATAGTGTGTTTTTTTCTTGTGTGTAGATCCAGCCTTGTACTGATGAACTGGAACACCTGGCAATACTAGCAATACAGTGGTACCACGGGTTAAGAATTTAATTCATTCTGGAGGTCCATTCTAAACCTGAAACTGTTCTTAACCTGGAGTACTACTTTAGCTAATGGGACCACCCGCTACTGCTGCGCTGCTGCCGTGCTTTTTCTGTTCTCATCCTGAAGCAAAGTTCTTAACCTGAGGTACTATTTCTGGTTTAGTGGAGTCTGTAACCTGAAGCGTCTGTAACCCTAGGTACCACTGTATATAAACAGATAGCTTACAGATGCAGACTTTCTTTGGATAAATAAAGGGATATTTGGAATGAATTTATACAGAATATAACAGGTTATTGAAAAGTATATGTGTATTAGGATAACAAGAATATACATATTTGTATATTAATGTTTGGTAGTGTAACAGTAATGTTTCTTTTTTCATTCTGCCTCACTTTCCCCCCCTTTTTTTCACTCTATCTTTTTATAAATGAAATAATCATAATATTTTTATTTTTTTTAGTGTGTCTAAAGCTGCAGCCCAAGAATCACAATACAATCATCAACACCAGCAACAAGCATCCCCCAGATAGGTGAGTTGTAGCATTTCCAGCAGAGGCATACAAACCTGGGTCTTTGTGAATAGAGAGGCAGTCTGCATGACATGTCAGAGGGTGGGGGAAAGTTGTCTGAAAACTGTTGATGCTGAGAAGGAGGAGGAAAGTGCCTCAGAGAGCTGTGGCAAATGATTATTATGTCAGTGACAGTCAGCACCATCACTACTGTTGTGCCTGAGGGAGAGTGAAACCACAGGAGAGCTTGACATATGTGACAACATGTCATTTAGGAGCGCTGCCCAGACAGCATTCTGAGGGAAGGTTCCATCTGGCTTCAGAGGTAGCAAAATCCAGAGAAACGCAGGTTACAAACTTAGCAAGTCCTGCTAGACCGCAAACATGAGTTTCGGCATACATTGTTCCCTTCTAAACCTGTGTCCCATCAAGTTGTATTAATGGCCACACATTTGGTGGGGGTGTAAATATGTACAGTGTTGGGGGGTTTTTTTGGCAAAGGGTGTTTAAGGAGATAGCAGAAATCATTGGGTTAAAGCTGACCGAGAGTCCAGAGGTAGCATTATTATCAATTTACAATGGGGTGGAAGGTTCGCTGGCTACGAAGGACTTGCTCACACATTTATTGACAGCAGCACAAATTATTATCATTATATTATAATAATTATATAATATATATATATATAATAGCCAGGAAGTGGAAGGGGCAAGCAGAATATAAAATGGAAAAATGGTATAAAGAGGTGTGGGATGTAACTATTAATGGTAAATTAACATGTGTCATTAAGGAATATGCAAGAGAAATGGTTTTGAGGAGATATGGAAGGTGTTTGTAGAATTTGTACTTTTAAAACAGAAAGGGGTCAAAACATTGCAAGAGGTGTTGAAATTTTGGGAGGTTGGATGTTACCATGGAATGGTCTTGGTGGTGGGGCACACATTTTACCGGTAATTCTTATATATTTATGATTATTACTTTGTCATAACAACAACAACAACAACAACATCATGGGGGGGAAATGGCTGTGTCTGTACTGACTCTGGCATGGCGGTGATGGGGAGCAATGGAAGAGGCGCTGATTAATACAATTGGCAGTTACGCCTATTTTATATTTGCACGAAGTTAGCTAATAAATGGGATCCGCGCTTGGCCCCTTTGACACATCTTAACAAGCCAGCTGTTCCCATCCACAAATTCACTGTCATTTCCCCCAGCCAGATCTGCTATACATAAGCAGGAGCCAGAATATCTCCCACAGGACTTTGGTACTGAAGCATCACTGAAGCATTTCATGGACAGAGATAGTACCTAATTTTTTGTAGCCTTGCTAAAAAGGAGAAACATGAAATGAGCATGTTTTATTCATTTCAAATTAAGACGGTTATCTCTTGTTGTGGTTATTGTAGCACACAGCTTGCAGGAATCTAGCTGATTGGGCTGTCTGTTCTGGAAGTTGTCAGATGAGCCCAGTCTAATTTCTCTGATGAACTTCTTCTTCTTCTTCTTCTTCTTCTTCTTCTTCTTCTTCTTCTTCTTCTTCTATTATTGTTATTAGTGCTTTTTTTCTTTAAAAATGTTTAGGGGTACTCTCATTTTGACTCAAGACACCATTTTATAGTTCAAATTGAGAAAAATAAATACAGTAAATTTACAAAAGTACAAAGATTCGCAAAATGTTTAGGGGCATGTGTACCCCTGTGGAACCCCAGAAAAAAAGAGCACTGATTCACTGGGGAACAATTTTTTTCTTGTATTGACACCTGCAGTTGTTCTTCAAAGGGGCTACCTTTGAAGGTGTTCCGGAAACTACAACTAATCCAGAACGTGGCAGCCAGACTGGTGACTGGGAGCGGCCACCGAGACCATATGACACCAGTCTTGAAAGACCTACATTGGCTCCCAGTACGTTTCCAAGCACAATTCAAAGTGTTGGTGCTGACCTTTAAAGCCCTAAATGGCCTCGGTCCAGTATATCTGAAGGAGCATCTCCACCCCCATCGTTCTACCCCGACACTGAGGTCCAGCACCGAGGGCCTTCTGGCAGTTCCCTCACTGTGAAAAGCCAAGTTACAGGGAACCAGGCAGAGGGCCTTCTCGGTAGTGGTGCCTTCCCTGTGGAACACCCTCCCACCAGATGTCAAAGAGAACAACAACTACCAGGCTTTTAGAAGACATCTGAAGGTAGCCCTGTTTATGGAAGCTTTTAGTGTTTGATGTATTGCAGTATTTTAATGTTTTTTTGGAAGCTGCCCAGAGTGGCTGGGGAAGCCCAGCCAGATGGGTGGGATATAAATAATAAATTATTATTATTATTATTATTATTATTAACCTAATTTTGACATGCTAATTTCATATCTGAGGTTCGTTTGTTCTGTAAGCTCTAGGTTTTTTTGCAATTCATGTTTTTCACTTTTCACCATAATCTCTGTTTTTCACAATGCAAGAATTCAATATTTTATTAAACACATAGCCAAAGTAGTACAATATGAGTATAAATGTAAGTGACTTATATAGCATTGGACATGACATGTATAGCATTGAAAATGACATGTATATCTATGTACAGTTGGAGGTATGCAAAAAAAATGTGTTCCCTTGGGATACACAGTATCTACAAGCTGTTGTTATTCAGTAAAGAATTTGTGCTTGTAGCTCTTGCATTTGTGGACTTGCACAGGGGATTCTCGTTTGATGGTCCAACAGTAGTCTGACATCATTGTAAATAAATACAAGCATGCAACGACGGCAGTGGAAATGCTATTAGCCCAGAGATGGAAGGAAGGAGAAGTACCAAGAAGAATGGCATATGAACCTGATGGCGTATGCAGAGATGGCGAAACTGATGGGGAAGAAAATACGAAAACAGGAAGATCAAGTAATTTCCAAAGATTGGAGCAAATTTGTAAAAGACCACTGTAAACAGTTAAAATCACTGGCAAGGATGTAATGACACATGTAATGTGGAATTTGTAATGATCATTATGGATGTTTAATAGATGGATATAGTGGTAAAAGATGCAGCAAACTTAATCTTAAACATGGAATCCATGGAGGGAGGGAAGGAGGTCCGAAGGTTCAAATGAACCTTGTTTGAAATGGTTATGTTAAAATGTATAAAATTGTGAAAAAACCATTAATTTTTTAAATAAAGAAAACAAAAAACAAAAATAAATACGGTACAAACAAAAGGGTTGTCTCACCACAAATAACAATCTCTACTTAGATCTCTGTGTCTCCCTTACAATTCACTGCTATATTGTCCAGGGTCTTCTTTCTGATCTTTTTGACAGCCAAAGCGAAAAAGGGCAACTTTATGAGTCACTGAAGTGGTTACATTGTTAAGAAGCCATGGGACCTTCTCTGCTGGGGATAGACATCTTTCCTGTATGGATGGTAAAGTGAGAAATCACCTCTTAGGTCCAATGTATAGTGGGCAATATAGTAAATAGTGCAAGATGTCCTCCACCTGCAATTGCCCCCATATACAGAGTCTGTCTTTGTACAGTACCATGGTATCATCTAGGATGGTGGGGGGCATAAATGCAGCTCAGTAAAAGCAAATCTTAATGAAGCTGGCCAGGGATTTCACATGTAACTGGTTCCAAAATGGACCATTTTTAGAAAGGGAAACCAAGGAGAGCATTTAAAGGATTTGATCGCTTGCAAATCACGTAGGGGTTCTGTCCAGTGGCACCAATCCTTTATTTGGCATTTGTCACCTAAGAGGAAAATGTAAAAGATCAACTCTTGTAAAGAGAGTTTACAGTGAAACTAATGAGATAGCTTGGAAGAATTGTTTTAAATGGACAAGATTCCCATTGGCAACATTTAGGCTGCACGGATTAATCCATTATAAGCAGCTTGCATGCTAATCTGTGCTTATTTTATTAAGCAATAAAAGAAAGAAGATCATAGAATTAAGGTGCATAGGACTTTTATTTCATGCATTCAGTTCGTGGAAACAGAAAGTAGCCTTTCTGCTAATTAGTTTGGCTGTGTCAATGGGCTGCGGTGCAGGCCAGTTTGTATAGATAGATAGATACAAAATTTGCCAGACATCTTAATGCCCTTTGAATTCAGATAATATTAGTTTTGTCCCTCTTGGAGCTAAAAAATATTATAAAAGAATATATTTAGACATTTCTGGGTTCACTTATAAAAGCAATTGCCTTTTGCACCTTAGGCTGCAAAACACTTATCAATATACATTTTCACATTAGGCACTGGCCAAAGAGTGCCAAGCTAATTTCATTATCATTAAAACTTGGAAATATTGTAATAGCCAAGCTAGGCAAATGCAATAACTGCCTTGTCTCTATCCTCTGAAATAATTTGTGTACTGGAGTATGCCAATATTTACATATCTATAATATATTCTCTTATTTAGCTAAAGAACGCATGGAAACTGCACCAGAAAGTTAGCACAAATAGTACATGTCCAAACTCTTATAACTTATAAGTAACCCATACTTTTTTCGGGAAGCAAATATTTGTGGGGAGAGAGGGAGGGAGGGAAGGAATCCTCAGTGTTCCTTTCGTTCTAGAATATATACAACTTTTGAGAGGGCAGCTGTATTAGTTGAATAAGGTGATCCATTTGTTGCCATCACAACTGAAATTTTCACGGAGCAGGGAAACTGCTCAGCATGGGGTCTTCAGGACGAGATGTTTGTAAAAACAACCCACTAAAGGCACAACCTTTCCTCTTGGCCTGACTTTACTGAAGAACAAGTGAATCTCAAGAGGGTGGGGAGCATTCTGAACTAGAGACTGCAAAAGTTGCAGGATATAAATCTCGACAACAGCCATCAAGGAGGTTTTCATAATACCAAACAACACAGCGCATGATGGAGAGCGTATAGAAAAATGTAAGCCTTTGAATCTCAGTGGCAGCCACCTAGACAAAGAAGCACTGTTGTTTGTTCATTGTAACCCTTTTTATACCTTCCTTCCGTTATATTTCCAGGGCAATTAGAACATGTCAAATGCAATTGATTTATGGACAGC